AATGGTGGTTCTCTATAAACATTTCTCAATAGACCGTTCAGTGGTGGTTGCTTTTTGGGGGGGCATATTGTCCTTCATCAGAGAGGAGAGAGGGTGAAAGGGAAAGTGAGAAATCACCCCCAAGGGTGTATGGCCAGGCCACAATCCCTTCTCCATTTCTCCTCCTGGGATCTTACGCAGGCACACAGGTACCAGTCATGATTTTCAAGCTGTCAGGTCCAGAACTAGAACTGCAGTTGGCCATGTGCAGTCCAGGATCTTCACCACCTCACTACCTGCTGGCTCTTGGATTTTTTTTTTAAAGAGATATTTGTTAAAGGGTATGTGCACTCACCAGAGAGACAGAGACACACAGAGAGACAAAGTGAGAAATCACCCCCAAGGGAGGATGGCCATGTTACAATCCCTTCTCCATTCTCTTCTTGGGACCTTGGGCATGCATATGCCTGCCACGAGTTTCAAGCCAGGTCTGGGACTCAAACTGCAGTCGGCTGTGTGGGAGTCCAGTGACATAACCACTATGCTACCTGCTGGTCCCTAATTGTATAATTTTCCAACAAAGTACTGATCTATAAAATATTTGTAAGTTCAAGTTTTTTTTGATTATTTATCATACAAAAATGACAAAAGGATTTTGAATTTCCTGAAGGGATTCAACAGATTCTTCACTGCTATGAAGGGCATTCGTAGATCAAAACATCTTGTATATGTGGTACCTACAAGAGTCAAATTCAGGGGAACCAGCAGTTAGTGTAATGGCTATGTCGCTGGACTCCCATGTAGTCGACCGCAGTTCGCATCCTAGACCCGGTGGCTTAAAACTCACGCCAGGCACGTGTGCATGCATGCCCAAGATCCTGAGAGGAGAATGGAGAAGGGATTGTGGCGTGACCATCCCCCCCCGGGGGGGTGATTTTTGCTTTCTGTCTCTATGTCTCTCTCTGTGTGGTGAGCGCATGTGCCCTATAGCGAAAACCTCTCCAAAAAAAAATAAAAAACAGTCAAATTCATAGAGACAGAAAATAGAATGGTGGCTGCCAGGCAGAATTGAGAGGGAGTAAAAAGGAGTTAAGTATTTGATAGGGGCAGACTTTCAGCTTGAAAGATGAAAAGATTCTGGAGGTGGATGGTGTTGATGACTGACTGCAGATCAATGTAAATATACTTAACACCATAGAAGTAGACACTTAAAAGTGGTTACAATGATACATTTTATGTATATTTTATCACAATAAAAAAAATTAGTCCAATCCCCTCATTTTACAAGGGGTCCAAATTCACATAGCTACTGTTATAAAGACAGAATTTCTAATTGTTTCTCCTAGCAAAACTGCCTATAAATTCTTCCAAGGCTATAATTAAAAATAAGAGTCACTGTGAGAGTGACTAAAAGAAGGTAACAGAAAAAGGTGTTCAGGAAAAAAGTTACAATTAAAAATAAAAATTAGCAATCATGTAGATTTTATACACATGCATTTTTATATTTACTTTATTCCTAGGTCCGTTTTACGACCCTTCTTTTCCTTTTCTCTTAGTTATCTTCTAATTTACGTTATTTTGGCCTATTTTACATATCTTTGTAACCCCTAAAGTCCTCTTTAAAGCACGCTGGGAATAAGTAAAATAACACGGTGATAACCCGGTGGCTTAAACTCACGCCAGGCACGTGTGCATACATGCCCAAGATCCTGAGGAGAATGGAGGAGAAGGGATTGTGGTGTGGCCATCCCCCCTGGGGGGTGATTTCTCACTTTCTGTCTCTATCTTTCTGGCGAGTGCATGCACCCTATAGCAAAAACCTCTCCAAAAAAGGGGGGGGGGGAGGCTAAGTTATATTATGTCCGGAGTGCATGGCTTACAAAAAGAATACACAGAAGACTGCAGAGCACTTTTCACTAAGATAGAGTTAATATTTAATCTTCTAAAAGGCTAATTCCCTAGCAGCATAAACAGGCTTTGTTGTAACATAAAGATAATCACTTCTTTTAAGCACAGTTTTGTGTAGGAATATCATTTCAAAACAATTACCTTGGAAACCACTTGGCATGTTCTACCCATGGATCATCTCCAGATTCCCAACACCTCAAGCCACCATCACAGCAAAAGCATTTGACATCATCATTGCGCCCTAAAGAAAAAAAAGACTGAAAGTTGAAAATACATATGTTCTAATATGTAAATCAAAATGTACTAGATAAAATGTATAGTTATTGGTTTCTTACCCACGTAATAAAAACCAGCACTTGCAAGCTGTTCAGGCTGAACTGGAACAGTAGGGGGCCAGTACATAAATGTTCTCATTCGAGCTGCATGTGTCTGCATGCTTAGATTTGAAATGCTAAACCTCAGCGTTTCTAGAGAATTTTCCAAAAATGGACAGTTGGGAAAATGTCTCCGGTGTTCTGACATAGCATCATCCTTTGGTTCCCAGTTACTCAGCTTCCCACCACAGGCAAAGCAAGCTACCCTGTCTCCAGGTCCGATATAATAAAAGCCAGCTCTTGCCAGTTCTGATGGTGACAAAAAGGTTAATGGCCACATATGGTAAGTAAGAAATCTGGCTTCTTCAGTACTCATTGCATAACTGTAGGGATTGGTTCTCAATTGAGAGAAGTCTTCCACCGCTCTAGAATTAAGAGGGTTTGGTAAAAGGTTGGAATAAGAACCCCTGAATGAGCCACTCTGATCCAAAGTGGGTGATGATGAATGTGCAAGACTGTTTCTTATTGGAGATGTAGTCTTAGAGGTGGATCCCAGACTAGCTGAAACCAGATTCTGAATAAAGCTACAGCTAGGATATAGCTGTTTATGCTTTTCGATAGGATTGTCTCCTTGTTTCCAGTTATCCAGCATCAGGCCACAACAGAAGCATTTGACCTTGTCATTTACACCAGTATAATAAAAACCAGCACGAGCAAGACTCCTTTCTGAGACAGGAACACCACTGGGGAAAGTTGAATACGTAGACATTCTATAGAGTTCGCATGAAAAGTCATACTTCATTTTTTGTTGGTTGTCGCTGGTCCAATTTGACAAGATCGTGCTATCTTCCATTATACTCTTAACTTTTTGATACGAGGGACCAGGAACAAGTCTTTGGGAGGTAGTTTTGTGCATGAGTAGGTTGTAACACTTTTTGATGGCTGAAACCTTCACATGAAATTTCTCAACTCTTCACACTAGATTTTCACCACCAAAAGGAATGAAATGATAAAGTCCTACTTATGTAGAATTTACTAGTCCTTCTTTACTAGAATTATATCTAAGCTGACATTCAGACAGAATCTCTCTCCTAAACTACTAGGTAGTAACTCTTTTAGGTTTAATTCTACCTAAACACTTGAAAAATGGACGGCTTTTTGAAAAATGTTAAAACTTTTTGATTTTTCAAGGAGGCTTATGTTCTCAAAATTCTAAGCAACTACACAATATATAAATTATGCCTTTAATTTGCTTTTGGTTACAAGCTATGTAGTATGGCTATTAGGCCAATTACCGATTATGCCGCAAGAGTAAAAAAAAATTTAAGGCAGGCTTCCTTCCTTATAAGCACTTTAATATAATGTCCAAATTAACCTCATTTAATTCTAGTAAACAAAGTAATTAAAATAGTTATACGGTCATATTATCTAAAGGTTATTTTCACATAGCTTATCATCAAAGTATTTACTTAAGTAATATTTGCTTCAGTTAGCAATTTCTGGGGAAATCAACACCCACAAGCTTTGTGGAACCTATGCTTATTACAGTGTGTACAATGCAAATTTTGCTTAAAGCTCACAAAACATTAACTCCTCCATTCTTGTTAAATACCATCTGTATTGTTTCCATTTCCTGCAGCAGCTTCATGTTGTCTTTCTTCTTTGTCTATTTCTTTTCATATTTGATCAACTCAAAGAATTTTCTTCAAAAACTAAAATTTCCACTTTTTACACTTCACTTAAAAATTAAGCTGTTTTTGGGACCAGCAGTTAGCATAATGGCTATGTCGCTGGACTCCCACATAGTCGACCATGGTTCCTTAAAAATAAAGCTGTTTTTCACTTAAGGTCTGTTCAGCTCTAATGTCAATAATGTAATTAAAGATGAATCAGTTTGTCAAAATACAGAGCTTATCTTTTTTAGTATTATCACATATGCCTAACAAAATATTGTATCACCAACAGAATTAGTGCTTAAGCATAATGTACCTATAATTAATTCTACTAGTCTTCTTTCCAAAAACTCTCCAACATTATAAAAATATAATTCATACACAAAATTACATTCCAATTCAAACTATATCCCTTTATAGCTTCAGGGTCTCCATAATGGGATTTATTATGGTAGGAGGGAAGATGTTGGGGGAGGATGGGATTCTTCAGAGCTGTAAATCTGAAAAGGAAAAAAAAAGTTGTTTCAGACAACTATATATGCATGGCAATTAAAACTTACAGACTCTTCAATTTATCCAGTAAAATCTAAGAATGCCTTATACTTTAGATAACACATCTTAATTCCAGCAATTTGTCTCCAAAACTTTCTAACTGGAAAAGCTCTTAATTGAAACAAGTCAATGCAATATATTCCCCCAGCACTAACTATGCAAGTAGTTAAAATGTACAACTTTCGGGGCCAGCACATGGTGGTTAAAGCACTGTGCTTCCTTATGGCTGATGATGGTTCGAATCCCAGACCTGGCCTTCTCACTTTCCCTCTCTCTCGACTCTCTTTGGTCAAATTAAGAGGGAGTGATAATGAATAAAATAAAATAGTTCTTTAAGAAAAATATTTTTATATTTACAACTTTAAAGATAGATGGACATTTCCACATAGGAAAACATTTTGTCCTTCCCCTTTTCTGAGTTAAAGATCTCTGGAACTTTGCTGGAGGCAAAAAGGTCAGTGACCAAAAAAAAAAAAAAAAAGCGAAACTAGACTACACCCCATTAGCACAGTACAGCAGTAATTAGAAAATAACGTTACTTTTTAACGTCAAGTGTCTCTGGGACTAAGTCAAAGTGCTTATAGTCCAGTAAGTAAACTACATTAGGAGGGAATCATTAATATAATTCTTAAACTGTACCACTGCCTCACGGTTATAAATCAACAACCTCACAAAACAACTCGAAACCAAAACAACACAATGGCCCGTAAAACACTGGTCTTGACAATAGGATCACTTGCATGAATCCTTATTTATATTGTGATTTATAGAGTTTCATCTACAAGTACTGTATTGCAGATTTTGCTCTCTCTGTGCAAACCAGCTGGACGGGGAGACCGATTTGGAAGGGAAACCATGATTTTCACTCATTAATTTCCCAGACCTATTCTGTACAACACACCATAGATTACTAGTGAAGTGGCAGAGTAGCTGCACTCTACAGAGGCTATCTCGCCGCCACGGCTGTTTTCGTCTCAATATACTGAATTAGAGGAATACCGAGAGCTTAATCAAACCTTGCAAAATACTAAAAGGGCCAGAAAAGTGGGCGGCGACCAGAGTAGGCATCACAACAAGTCATTTTTTTAAAAAAAAAACACTTTCGGCTGCAAGTTTTAAAGTTGCGGGCTTCCAAATTAAACAAAAGTCTCGGCGAGAGTAAATAGCGCGGAGCGAATAGCAGCTACCCTCGGCCGAAGGGGGAGGTCCCGGCCCGGTCCTCCCTCGCCCGGGCGCAGCACCCAGAAAAGCAACCCCGCACCCCCTGCCCACCTCCCGCGGCTCGCCGCGGCCCGACCCGGAAGGAGCAGCACTCACCGCAAGGGCAGCGCCGCAAACGCGGAAGCAGGGGAGCTTCCTGGAAGCCTCCTCAGACCTGCGGAGCAGCAAAACCAAAAAGCGACTGGGCCGGCCGCACTCGGCTCTGCCCGGGAGCACCCGAAGCACCCCCCTCCCCTCCCGGGCGGGCTCACGCCGACGCACGGTGACGTCAATGCGCACGCCTTCGGGGCTCGAGTCAGTCGCCGCGCGGGGGCGCCCGGGAGAGGCGGCAAGAGACCGAAGCCCCGCGCCCCTTTGCTGAGGCGAGGGACGCGAACCCCAAGCGAAGACGCCGAGGCCGGGGGAGGCCCTGCGGTGCGTGAGCGCCCACGGGAGCTGCGGGTGCCAACTCGGAGTTTCGCTTTCTAACTTCGCGGTTTGTGCTCCTTTAACGTTTTTCTCCCTCCCGGTTCCTCACGTTCCCCTGAGGGAGACGCGGCAAACCCTGAGCCGTTGCGTTTGAATCTTGGGAAACCCTGCGGAAACGCCCCGCGTGTCACCTCATTGATAGTACAGTCAGTCCCTGGCAGGAGGCCTCCAGTGTGACGCCCAGGATGGAGTCAGTCTGGTGGCATTTTTGCTTCAGTTAAGTAAACAAGTGTAACCGTTTTTGGTTTTTGTGTGCGTGTGTTCTCTTTTTTTTTTTTTCTCCTTAGTGCCTCTGCGAACCGTCAACATTCCACAGCCAGCAATGTAAATTGAGAAAAGCGGAGCATTGCAAAGTAGGTTAATTTTTAAGACTTGATGTATTTTTACAGTCAACCGGTATATCTTTTGTTTTGAAACTTGGTTTTCTCTCCTGGAGACACGTACCAACCAGAAGGTGTCCATATTTTTCCAAGTGTGAACAGGTATTTCAGGCCAGGCACTCCCAGCATTTTCTGAATGTTTGAATAGAATGGAGTACACAATTCTACGTGTATGCATGTGTGCACACACTTATAATCACACATTAACCACAGAAGAGGCCACTTAACAAATTGTTAAAATAGTTAAGTGAAAGGAAAATTGTCAGTAAACCTTCATTTTACTAGTCTGAGACCTTATGTCTTCTCCCTTTAGTGCTGTGAACACAATAGCATGCAGTAAATGTATTATAGAGAACAACTTTTCCAACTTTTTAGTTTACGTTCTGTGAAGACATTATCAATGGAATAAAATGTTTTCTTTCTGGGGAACTCCAAGGGGCAAATATTTCAAAAACCTCCAAATGACATGCCCCTTAGTTAGGCAGCCAGGGGAATTCCAAGACCCTGAACCACTTCCCATATCCTGTCCATGTCATTTCTGCCTGCCAGTCAGTCACAGAACAGGAGGTCTTCTGTTCCAATGTTAATAGAAAAAGAACGTATTTGTAATAGTTTGTGATGCAGAGAAAAGAAATGCCATGGCATGGCTCCCAATGACTAAATATTCCAAAAATACACACAGAGTGGTACTAGTTCCATATTTTTCAAGTCACTAATTCCTGGAAAGTTATAGAACATTCTATATATATATATCTATATATATGGATTTTATAAATATATAGCAAGAACTATTCATTCTGAATTAAAGTTTATTTCTCTTTCAGTTATTTTCTTGACCAAAAAAGATAGTAAATAAGCATGAGGGGGAATCTACATTTCAAAAACTTAAGGGAACTGGCAGTTAGAGTAATGGCTATGTCGCTGGACTCCCACGTAGTCAACCGTGGTTCTTGTCCCGGACCCGGTGGCTTGAAACTCACGCCGGGCGCGTGTGCGTGCGTGCCCAAGATCCCGAGAGGAGCATGGAGGAGAAGGGATTGCGGCGTGACCATCCCCCCTGGGGGGTGATTTCTCGCTTTCTGTCTCTATGTCTCTCTCTGTCTGTCTGGCAAGCGCACGCGCCCTACAGTGAAAATCTCTCAAAAAAAAAAAAAACAACTTAAAAGCCTAAGACATTTTTATCCCAAAACATGTATTATTACTAGTGTTAGATTTATTCAGTTAATTCAGTTATGCTAATATTTTCTTTAATTGCCAGTGCAGAGTTATAAGTCATTTAAAAAAAAAAAAAAGAAAGAAAGAAAAATAGGCTAGGGGCTGGGGGCCACCAGGTGATAGGGTGTTTAAGACGCTAGGCTTCCACATGGGCAATCTCAGTTCAAGTTGCAGGCCTGGTGGCTCACTTTTTCACTCCCTCTGGTTGAGCACACATGTCCTATAGCAAATTAAAAAATAATAACAAATAAAATAAATAGCTCCTTAAAAAGTAGGCCGTTTATGTCTGCTAAGGCTTTCATATTTTTATAGGAAAAATATTTACAAGGTCTAAGACAGTTTTGAACAAGAAAAATAAGATCAAAGGGGCCTGTCCTATCACATAATGAATTATACATATAATAAAAAAATAACAGTTTTATATTAACTATTTTATTTATTTTTATTTTATTTTATCTCATGAGAGAAAGAAAAACCAGTACCCCCAGCAATGATATCACACTAAAGTCTACCTCCAACCTTAGCTTGGATTACTGGTGCATACACAAGTCTGGCATGTGCAGAGAAACATCTGGGTTGGGACCTTCCCATGTGGGCCCAGCATCATAGTGTTGTGTTACTGCTGCACCACTGGTACTAGACCCCTATCTTATTAAATGTATATGGATGGACAGTTGAAGGAGATAATGAGCCCAAAAAAGGCACCCATATGTATGAAGGGGGTCTTCAAAGCATTCATGGAAAAATGAGTGTGATGAAAAACTGCATGGATTTTTAAATTTTATTTATTATTATCATAATCTCATTTAAATTACATTGAATCACATATATCTTTACAGTGTATTCCATTTCCTTTTCTAGAAGGACTACCATGCATATCAGTCAAGACAAAGACTTTACTATCTACATCATCATCATCAAATAACTTTTCATAATTTTTTTCCAGATAATTATTATTCTCATTATTTTTTAAATCCATCACTATATATCATTTTGCTTGTAAAAAGAATTTATCTAACATGAAATACTTCTCAGACCATTCCAGTTGAGAATACTACACATGCTATCATCAACAGGTAATAAATCATTTCTGTGTCCCACTGATGTCATGCCTCTCTATTTATTCTCTTGCTATCCTTCTCTATACTATTCCCTTCTCCCACACTGTTCCACACTGTCTTCAGCATCCCTAACTATTTTCACTGCTTTTATGCCATCCAATATTTCCCTCTCTACTGTAAAGTGCATATAGTGGGTATATATTAAGTGGATACATACAGTGTCTTTCTTTCATGTCCTGGCTTGCTTCACTCAGCAATAGACCCTCCATATCCTACCACTTTCTATCAGATGCCCAGGTCTTGTTTTGTTATGGCTGAGTAGTATTCTATAGAGTATATGTGCCACACTTTTTCTGCCATACATCTGTTTGTGGACCTTTGAGTTGGTTCCATGTCTTCGCGACCGTGAGTAATGCTGCAATAAACATTGATGTGCAAACGCTTTTCCAACTGAGCATTCTCCTGTCCTTTGGGTAAATACCCAGAAGTAGGATTGCTGGATCAATTATTTGTAGATTTTTGAGGAACCTCCGTATTGTTTTCCACAGTGGCTGAACCGTTTACGTTCCCACCAACAGTGTAGGAGAGTTCCCCTTTCACCACATCCCCACCAATACTTAATCACTTTTTATGTTTTCAATCTTTGCCATTTTGACAGGGGCTACATGGTATCTCAGTGTCGTTTTAATTTTCATCTCCCTTATGATGAGGGATGTTGAGCAGTCCCTCATATACTTTTTGGCTGTTCGTATGTCTTCCTTAGAGAGATTTTTGTTCAACTCATTTTTCCATCTTTTATTTGGGTTAGTAATTTTTGTTCCGAGTAAGCCGCTTGAGTTCCTTGTGTATTCTGGTTAAAAGTCCTTTGCCAAGGCATATTTTACAAAAATAGTCTCCCATTCTGAGGGTTACGTTTTCATACTAATTACAGTGTCCTTTGCTGTGCAGAACGTCTTAGTCTGATGTAGTGCCACTTAATCTATTTTAGGGATTGTACTATGCATGGATTTCAAAAATTTTTGCACAGGAATAGACTTGTATTTTAATTAATTTTTCATGAGCTTTTTGAAGTCCCCCCTTATGTATGTGAGAATTGGGTCTAAGACAGTAGTAGTATATAGGAAAGGACTAGTCAATAAGTAATGCTGAGTGAATGGTTATTCCAGTAGAAATTAAAATGATTTTACACTATTAAAAAAATTCCCTACTGGATAATAAGCTTTAAAAGTGGCTATTATGAGGACCAGCAGTTGGTTTGATTGTTATGTTGCTGGACTCCCATGTAGTTGACCACAGTTCAAGTCCCAGACCCAGCAGCTTAAAACTCAGGCCAGGTGCATGTACATGCATGCTCAAAATCCTTAGAGAACGGAAGAGAAGGAATTGTGGCATGACTATCCACCCTACAGGGTGATTTCTCGCTTTCCATCTCTCTGTCAAGCACATATGCCCTATGGCAAAAATCTCTCTCTCAAAAAAAGTGGCCATTATGAATTGTGAATTGCGACCATTATGAATTATATATTCAGGGATAGAAGCAAATTTTGTGAGTTGTAATTCGTTGCTGTTATTGTCACTATTGATGGCCCAAGTTGTTTTAAGTCAGTGACAACTTACTCCAGTTAGCTCCTAAGTCTGATATGGCCCTAATAGTCTTTGATTACTTTCCAGACTCATTTTGCACATTTCTTAACTCCATTCTCAAAATAACCCACTTGCACAAAGTGCTCTGTTTCCTTTAGTGGGAAATGTTGTTTAGAGATCATAATTTGAGTGTTTGTTATGCTGATAGTTAATTGTTTCTGTTCTCTTCTATGAATGGAACTGGGTAGTATGGTTTTGTGTTTTTAGTAAAACTAATCATGAATTCATACAGACCAAGAATGTTTTTAATCTCTTTGATTGTAAATCTGTAACTCCCTTTACTCTGAAAATGTTCTTGCTGGCTCTGTGACCTTATGGTTAAGGCAGTCAGATCCCACATGGCATACCCTGTGGTTTGCATTCTGGACCCAGTGGCTTAAGAAATGTGCCGGGCACATGTGTGTGCATGCCCAGAATCCTACAAGAATGAAGGGATTGCAGTGTGAGCATTTCTATTGGGAATTGCTTTTTTGCTCTCTCTGTCTCTGGTGATGCTCATGTGAACCTCTAGCAAAATTAATAATAATTAAAAAAAAAAACTCTTCATTTTCCTTTGTTTTATCCCACCCTGAAGGTGATGACTTAGACATTTCTTATGATTAATTTTTTTCATTTAAAAATATAATTAAGTACACTTATCTAGAGCTCCCCCTTTCATAGATAAGTAGCATACTTTTTTTTTTTTTTACCTTTTTTCACTTAATAATCATTTTTGGAGTTCACTCAATATTAGCATATAGAGAGAGGTATTTCTCATTTCTGCATAGTATTCAATTGTATAGTACTCCATTATATACCAGTGTATTCAGTTATATTGTGTAGATATACCATAATATTGAACTTGAATAATTTAATTAAAAAACTAATCAAAGACTACTAGGGTACGTCGGAGTCTTAGAGGCCAACCCGATAAGCTCCACCTGGGTCCCTCTTGCATGGTTCAAGTCTTAGATCCACATGTTTGAAAAATATGCTGGGCATGTGTGTATGTGTGCCCAGAATCCCAAGAGCACAATGGAGAAGGGATTACAGTATGGCCATTCTCCCTGGAGG